ACCCCGCCGCGCTGCAGTTGCCCTGCCCGTTCACCGGCTTGATCACCATGGGCAGGTTGAAGCCGTCCACAAGGCTCACGTCGTAGTAGTCCACGGACGCCAGCGTGAACTCGGCCAGGCTGGCCGGCGTCGCGCCCGACGACCCGCACTTGAGCGCGCTGCCGCAGGAGCCCGTGGCGCACGACCCGTTCCCGCCCGCGTCGAAGTTGCAGTCCGTGCGGCCCCAGATGCGGCCCGACCACCCCACCGGCGCCGTGAACATCATCGACTGCCCCGGACGCAGCGCGAACCCGCCGCCGCCGAAGCTCTCGCCGGGTGTCACCGCCGGCCAGATCACCGTCTTGCACTGGTTGATGATCGTGAACACGCGGGCCGACTCAGCACGCCGCGCCGCGCCTGCATGCATGCAGTTTTTTTTTGTCTCATCATAAGTACATATTCCTAGTAGTATTAATATAGGAGTCCATATTTAATTAACTGACATCTTGTTATCTTGTATTATCTTATTACTTATAAGATTAAGAGAAGTACAGTAATAATTTGGTAAACTGACCCCACCAAGTCGAAGAAACACGATGAATCAATTTGCACATTGTTTTTTCAATCCAATGTGATGCAAAATACTCACTCCGTGGATGCAATTCTTGCTTTTCAAGAAGCCAAACAATTTTACATTTCACCAAATCTATACAAAAAAGTACTCACATTTATAATGCTAATAAGTATATTAGATTAATCAATGAATATATATTTTCACAGTATAGCAATTTAGAGTCATAAATGTTAATAATATCGAGTTGTTCTGACTAATGGTTTTTGCGGCTGATAAGTCAAATGATGTTGTTTTGTTGTGAGAGAAAAACATTATACCATGGCTGATAAGCCGGGTTAATAGGTTCCAGCGAATAGGACGAATTATTTTGTAAACTTAGTTAAATTTAAACAAGTTTGACTTAACTAAAACCTATAATTGTATGTTTTATAGGAGGCAGTACATAGCAATATGTACCGGCAGTTTCATAGATTACAAAAAAAAATGATGTGACAAAACAAAATGGTGGCAATCTCAAAGTGCAATAGACATGGCCAGAGACAACTCTGATACATGTATTTCCCTTTCCACAGGGAGCAAATGGGGTAGTACTGCAAACTGAAAAAGGCCAAGAAGGAAAAGGAAAAGGAAAAGGAGGGGGGCATTCGTTCAACTCCTGAGCTTTCGGCAGGCAGGGAAAAGTGAGAGAGCACTTCATTTTTTTTTTCCAAGAAAGAAAAGAAGAATGTACAGTAACTAGCAATGTCCGATCCTGTTCGCTTGATCGTATCAGCCATGCTTATCAGCTATGATACAGTGTTTTTCTTTCATAACAAAATAGCGTCAACCGGCTTATAAGCCACATAAACGATCGAGCGAACAGGTGCCGGGAAGCTCTCTTCTCCATGGCTGTTTAACGTGGTGCGATGTGCATGCAAACGAAAGCCAGATACCTGGACAGAGCTCGGGTTTAATACCATAGGGAGGAAGAGAATACGTACGTGATAGGGAGGCTCTCTTCTCCACAGCAGCAAGGAAGGTAAAAACCTTGGCTTGGCTTGCATGGCAGACTCATCTTCTTCTTGTACAGCAACAGAAGCAAACCATGCTCTTTCAGTTGTTCCTTCCTTGCTCGTTCCACATCCTCATTATCGTCCCTCCCTCCTCCTCATGTCTCGTTACTAGGGGTGAAAATGGTATGGATATTTTCCGACTGTATTCGAGACCGAATTCGTTTAGAGAGGTTCAGATCTGTCCGTATCCGAGTCTGGATATTCAACATCCGATACCATATCCGTATCTGAATACTCAAATCGCATATTTGTGATGTCGATACCCAATGGTATCCTATCCGACATAGTTGATATTATCCATATTCGAATCCGAATCCGAATCCGAACATAAATATGAAAACAAATATAATATCGGTGATATCCGTCCGTATCTGATCCGTTTTCATCCCTACTCATTACTCTCACCCGATTCCGATTCCAATACCATTCCTACCAGGCTTCCTTTCCTTGTTCTACTCCTATCCAATACTAGTAGCTCCCTTGTTGGCTTCATGCTTTCAGCATCTCGTCAGTCAACTCAGTCAGAATCACAATTCACATGATATGACCAGCATAGATATGATGTAGCTCACCAGGCTTTCCTCTTAGACTGTCTCCAACAATGAAAACCTAAACACAGCACCTATTTTCTGATTTGGGTCGTGCACAGGAAAAAAAAAGGTTCGGGCCAAATTTAAACTTCTCCAACAGCCCTCCTCAACCTCTGACTCTCCGCTCCTCGCTGCGCTGCCCTCCAACGGCGTCCTCCTCAACCTCTCCGACGGCCTCCACTGCCACCACCCCTCCCCCCTCCCTTCCCCATGCGCGGGCTGCCGCCACCACCTTCTCCTCCCCACAAACGCCACCTACGCGCACAGGCACCCGCCCCCACCGCGGTCCACCCCAAGCCTAATGGGCTCCACCTCGCCGCCGGCCGCCCCTCCACCCCCGCCCGCGCTCCCCCTTCCCTACCCCTCCTCCTTCCCCCACAGCCAGATCTAGTTGCGCCGACCGCCGTGCCAACAACCCTAGCCGCGACGAGCTCCACCATCCTGTCACCGCCGCAGCCGCCAGCTGTCTCTCCGGCGTTGGCGGCCACCCCTCCCTTGCCCGCCTCACCCTACTACTACTACTCCCTCCCCCCGCAACCCCTTCTCCTCTGTTCCATGCGGGCGCCCTTCTCGCGAGCACCCTTCCGGATCTCTCTCCCACGCGCGGACGCCGTCACGGACGCTGACGGGAGCCAGTCGGCTGGGGCGGCGGACATGGTGACGGTGCTGCAGCGTGCCTCCCTCATCTCGCGCCTACGAGCGGGCAAGGCACCCGGCCATGGTGGCCCTCCCCAGATCCGGGGTGGCGGTGGGGGCGCGGCGCGGATCTGGGGCGGCGATGCGGAGCCCCCTCGATGCTGGCCGCGGCGAGGCGGAGCTGCCGCGCGGCCGCCGTGTTGAGCCGGCTCCGGTCGTCCCCTTCCTCGTGGTAGTGGGCCTGGCGGAGACGCAAAGAGACGGAGGGAGGATGCTTTTTTGCTTTCCGTGTCGCCTCCGACCCAAAATGGGTGTTGTGTTTGCCTACTCGGTTGGAGCTCTTTTTTGCCGTTAAAATACTGTGCGCGACGCATTTTTGGGAATGGGTCACATTATCGGAGACAGTCTTATACTGTATAGTCACTTCTATGTGAGGCTCTGTTCGCTTCTCTTATAATATGTACTTTTCAGCTTCTTTTTTTTGAGCTGAAACGGTATTTCTCTCTCACAACAAATCAGTCGGAACAGTGTTTTGACTTGTTTTTTCAGCGAAGCGAACGGGGCCAAAAGAAAGTTTGTTAGCACAATCACCAAGAGAAAGGCTACATTAACAATCCAAACTACTTTATATACATGTAATAATATACCATCCTCCCTAGAGGAGTAGGGGTTCATTGGATATTGGAGTCCATGCATGGCTCACGTGGTTTCTATCTATGCGCCAACTGTTGATTTTTTTATTAATACATTTTTAATTGAAATTATATATATATATATATATATATATATATATATATATATATATATATATATGTATATATCCACACACCTAGGGTCTACTCAATTACAGAAATAACATAATATCGTTTACTAGGAAAAAATAAGTTTAAAATTTTATCTAATATTGTTAACAGTTCAAAACTGCCCAGTCCTTAAACAATTAACTGATGCGGTCATAGAAATGGCATGGCAGATCACAGATATGGATGTGCAAATTAATGCATAATTCATGTTGGTTTATTTATGCTATGCATCAAAATTTGTGTCAAACCTAATGTGGTAGACCTTATGTTGTATTCCTGTTGAACCAACGCGCTCTAACAGCCACAGAGGTGTGTATTACGGATGCTCATGAGCCAGCACTGCTAAAGTGTTGGACCCTCACCGAATAAAGGTTAATTCCAAAAAAGGCCCGTAAGCATTCCACTAGTTACCATTTGTTTTCGCCATTCCCAAGTCAAATCAACATACTCATCATGTTAAACTAAATCAAAACTAGCCTACAAACAGCTATGACATACACAAAATTTTTACTTTCCAAATCATTATAAAGTAGGGTAAAAAAAATCCAATCATAACAACCTTACAAGTAGCTATGGTAAACACAAATTATAAAGCATATAGACCTAAGGCTTATTTACTGGACCAAATTCCGAATAAAAAAAAAAATATGAAGCTAGCTGTGGCACCCGCCCGCCCGCCACCCGCTCGAGCAGATGTGGTCCGCGGATAGGAATGCGACACCCGTTTTCAGGTTTTGATATTTCGTGTTTCAGGTTGGCCCAAATTTTGAAATCGTTTCATCGGTACAGTAGACAACTTCTAGAGATCGTTTTCCGGCTGGACGACGATTTTGAGTTGTCGTTTTACCGTCGAACGATTTCTAGCAGGCATCTTTTTCCAGCTATGAACGTATATTACAAAATAACATATTCTGGATAAGATCCATCAGTAACATGTGAAATGTGCTAAACCGGGACTGAAGAAAATCGAACAAAAACGAAACCTGCAAAACTCACAGGAAAATGACACAAGAAAATCTTTCTCTGGAACACAAGAAAATAACTAACCTTTGGTGCCTGGACACAATAAATAAAGGTAATCGGATTTCACGTGGAAATATATACACACGAGACAGCAGCTGATACTTCCAGTTTAACTACCATGTCAGGGGCCATAGAAACAAAATGGTTACACTACGGCTGCCGTTGTCAGCTTCTAACGCAACAGCTGCTAACTAAGTTGGGACTTGGGGCAGTTTTTACACCAGAGGGTCCAGCTACCGGACCAAAACTAACGCACGACGATGTGATTTGGAGTATCATCAATGTACTATTCCATCATCACACCAATTGCCATCGCTCTAGGAAAAAGGACACGAATGATTCGTCAGTCGTCCAAGTTTATTCCGTAGCGTTGAGCAAGGTTCTTCATGGTTCCGTTTTGCATCAGAGTTTCCAGCATGTCGTACTTCTTGCAGTTTCCATCGAGTAACTCCTGCTGCCGATTCGCTAGTTCCTTCTCCTCTTCCAACAGTTTCTGGACAGAAAAAAAATAAAAACAGCTCCACATAAGCATTATCATGTATAATATAATATTCTCAATGAAACATCAAAGTAACAGCATCAACACCACAATAACAATCAATATTGTAGTTAAAGCACAAATACAGTACTTGGACACTCACCAATCTGACGAGAGTGTGAAGTATTTATAAGAGACAGGCCACCAGTATTGGTAAACTATGATAGATGCAGTGCAATGTGCAATAGTGCATATGCACTTGGCTATCCATTATATATTTGCATACTTTTAACAAGTGATCCACACCTAGTCACAATTACTCTTGTATAGTCTCCTCTTCCTTTGAGGCGCCCCCACAAACAGCTAATTGATAGCATGAGAACAAAATAAGCATATCTTTTTGTGCCATTAAAACTCAAGGTTAATATCACCTATGGAATGGATATTAAGTTCCCAATTGTTATATTACATTTAAGATTCATGGAAGGAACTTTTCCACTTCTGAAAATAAAGGATTATAAATGGAAAGCACTTGGGGTCTCATTGTTTCATGTTTGGTCTAACCATGAAAATAACATAGCAGCCAGTAAAACCAACATTTTTATGCTAACCGAATGTACTCCCTCCATTCCAAATCATAAGATGTTTTGGCTTTTTCATATACATTGCTTTTGCCATGCACTTAGCTATACACTATGTCTAGTCTAGATATATATAGTAAATCTAGAAAAGACAAAGCGTCTTATGATTCAGAATGGAGGGAGTACAACACAAAAGATCAAATAACACATCATCAACCATACACTGAAAAAGGGCAGGCACAAAGACAGTTTTCCCAGAGCAGTCACAAAACAATTAAACATTTACCTTTATCAGAGCCATGTTCTCAGATTCCTGCCTCTTTGCAAGGTTTTTCAATTTCTGCATCGCTTCATAGTCCTTATCTCCTTGTTTTACCCAACAGAAATCTTTTTTAAGGCCAGGGCAAGGAGGGCGATCATGAAACATCTCAGGCTTGGCATGTGTAGCTTTTACAGGCCTTGGCATTCCACCAATTATGAATGGGAAATCATTCATCAAGTCTACAGCAGCCTTAGCCTGCACATCATCATTCAATTCCACCAATGCGGCACAAGGGATTTCATATGGGATTGTGTAGTTGACGATGAACTCCACACTGACAACATTTGCACACTGTGCAAGAGCAGCTTTGATGGCCGATTCCTTTACTTGAGGAGAAAGCTGGTCAATATATATCGTCCTCTTAACTTTCTCCTCGAAATCAGCATAGTCCTTGGAAGCCTGCTCTTTGGAAGTCTCCATTGAAGGGCAACCTGTTGAATATAAGGTACGACACTTGGTCACTCCAATCTATAATGTTCCATGCAAGACGTAGCCAGTATACATAAGAAAATTCAGGAGAACAGTATACAAAAGCAAAATAGGGTTCAAAGTTGAAATGTGACAAACATACACATACAATATATTTTTGTATCGTTGACATAGCAAATCTGTTTCTCTTGCATGTTGGTCATTAGGTGGCGGGCTAGGATTTTTAAGCAAGGAAGCAGGGTGTATCTAGACAATAATAATCCAACATTGACTTCGGTGTGCAACTATAATTTGCCAAGCATTTAGTATGCAGATATAAATTTTATTAGAACCAGCAAACCACAATTCAGTAAACAGCAATATTTTCGAAAAGTACAATTCAAATCCTTGGAGAAAACATCTTGTTCAATAAATGTGACTAAACAGTCATTCAATAACTTATCACTTATTATACTATTTCTCAACTAATTCCTAGGTAGATGGACTAATTGCATAGAATACTCTTTTCAGTAGTTGTTATCTCCAAAATTAATTTAAGAATCAAGCACAGAAAATCATAACGAACACTTTTATTTGTTTCAACAAGCTTAATGGAGACCTCACAGCCTCTGAACCTGTTATATTTGCTCATATATATATAAAAAAACTCGACCTGCGGAGGAAAGACTACCTCCCGCATCATTGCATTAAGAAGAAGCATCTCACGTGCAGGCTGAGAAACACCCTGAAGGCCGGCTGCCCTGGACGTGCCATCAAGCGCCCAGGACACATGTATGCGGCCATGTGCATCTCGCTGAAAGCAACTCAGGTGCTTACACGTATAACTCAGGAACACAGCCTGTTTAAATTCACTCCCATGGGAGTCAAACCCAGGACCTAAGGTGCTACTAAGGCTCTTGTGACCACTAGGCTAGAGACCCTTTTGCTAAATTTGCCCGTACCATTATCATCATCAATAAACTTATCACGTTGGAGTCGAAGCCTTATCAAATCCACACTTGAAATATCCTTAGATTTTGATATTACGGTATCGCCAGACAAGAAGTCGAATACGCGATTCAGTATAATCCAATGAACAATCCAGTAAACCAGGGGCGCATCCAGTAAAGGTTATGGAGATGACAAAATGGTATATATAATATTTCTGACACACGTGATAGGAAATGCTGTAGAATATACGGTTCCAGTCTTCCACACATTCATCAGTTCAAAAGAACAAGACGATACAGTGCCAGATGTGCATTTAGACAATCCTGACCATGCGAATGGAGCAAATTCGCATCTAGAACAGAACGTGTTGCCCTTCCCACCAAACAGAGCTCGGCCTTGTGAATTTAGGGCTGGGGATTGGTGCTTACCTTCGGAGGATGCAGACGGCTTCTCGGCGCTCCGGGCTCCTCGGTGGGGTGGGACAGTGGATCGGTGCCGCACTGCCGTGTGGACGCCGATGCCGGCCTCGGTGGGTGCGAGCGCGACGATGCCCCTGGCTGCTGCGGCGCTGCCCCGGCCGCGGACCGCCCAGCCGCTGCCAACAGGTGTGCGGTGCGGCAGCCGCCCAAGACAAGCTGAGCGGAGAGCTGCCGGTCCGCCGCCGCGTCACGACGGAAATAGGGTTTGGAACGCAGGAACGCGAGTCGGGAGGGAGAAGCGCCGTCACGCCGACCGGACCGGGAGTCGCGCACGCAGAGCAGAGGGGGCGTCGGTACGGCGAGCGGACTGCGGATGGGGAGAATTGGACAGGTTGGGCCACTGGGGCATTTGTTGGGCCGACGGAGATGGACGGTAGAGCCGCAGGAGGCTACTGTTTTGGGCTCAATTCGCGAATAGCCTGTTATTTTAACCATATTTTCATTTTTGTCCACTAAAAAAAAACTATATTCTACAGTACACGTTGATAAATAGTACGGCCCAATACCGCTGGTTTAACTGCAACCGGCAGCGAAGCGGCCCGTTCCAGCCCTTCCCACCAAAAAAAAAAAAAAAATGAACCGGGGAGGATACAAATCGGCAGTGTTATATATTGTTCCTTTCAATCGCTACCAGTTTAAGCCACGATCTGACAATAAATCAAACCTATCACCGGCAGTGAAATGGAACCTCAGCCATGGTACAAACCGACGGTGATAAGCTATTGCGGCATGAACCACAAACGGTAGTGAATGGTAGTGAACCTGTCACAACCCTGCTAGCCTAGTACTATGGCAATATAGGATGTAAGAAATAGTTCCTCTCTCATGCCCGACCAATGGAGGTCTTTTTCTTCAAGTTATGCCAATAATGCAGCTATTTTTCATCAAAATTCCCATAGAAGCTCCCTTTTTTAATAAATGATATGATCATCACAGAGTATAACTATTTTGTTACTCCTTAAAAGGGAATTACAACCTGTGTTGTGACGATCATTGTAATACCCATGTTTTTGCCATTGTTGTTACATCTTTTTTACGAAGATATGTTCATAAAAGATTTGGCTTATATAACACTAAGATTTAAATCAGTAGCAGCCTATTAATTGTCAATATTGCACTCATAATTTTTCATTTCCTTGGGGCATTCCATAATTTAGAGTAATCTTTTGAGTTTACATCTAAATTTTCCACCTGCTAACTCGTCGAAGGCATTTGATAAATTACCTAGCATCATCATTAATTAAATGGACTAAAATAACCCCAAAAATATGCATCCAAATCATGTGTGTTCTCTGTTGTAAAAATTATCCCAATCTAAATTATCCATTTATGTCTTATTTATATAAGAAAAACTAGCTCAAGGTCTGTGGTATTTTGGGTAAACTCTTTTTTACTCCAACGAGGGGTAATTTGTAAGTATGTGGAGAGAGCTTGGTTATCTACGGTCTTTCAGTATGGAAGCGCCAAGGAATGGGGAAAAAAAAGGGCAGAGAAAGCAGTGCAAGTTGTGCGGGAGGTCAACTCCGATTGTCAACGGAAGAGCAAGTTAAGCTTTTGTGACCTTTGTTTATTTTTGGACTAGGCACTTAATAGAGCAACAGGAGTACTCTCTCTATTTCCAAACTGTTAGATATTTTGACTTTTCTAGATACGTTGTTCTTATTATGCATCTAAATGCATAATAGAAATTATATAAAAAAAAGATCAAAACGTCTTAAAATGAAGGGAGCAAAATCAAAGGCGAATTGGTACAAGTTTGTTCAAAATGAGAGACGCTTTTTAGTTAGTACGATGCCAATGCAAGGTGATTGTTGACTTTTCTATTAAACTTGAAGCCAGATCTCGAGTGGATTCAGTGACAAAGACTGTATGAGATGCTTCTTGGATGAAACTGCTACCAGTGACACCAGCAGATTTCTCGGGTCCTCCTTTGTCTGATGGATTTTTTGGCATTGGAGTTGCATTTGTACTTCCATTTGCAGAAGTTGCAGTCTGGCCTTTAATGTGTTTCTGACTTATTATATCTGATGAATAGATGCTAGCTGCAGCGTTATCAGCAAAATCATCTTTTCCTTTATTGGAAGCCATCACTTGCCTTGGATGAACTAGGTTAATATCTTCTATATATGTTATTATACCTAGATACTATTAAAAAAATCATAAACAATTTACTGTATAATTTAGAATAGAGAGAGTAGTCAGTCTCCAACAATGATTGTATTGTATGATGTTAGTAGAGAAGGAAGGTGTACAGCGCTTGCTTGCGTTGTATGTTGCTATATGCTGTTGGTAGGCAATGCAAGTCAATCCATCGACATTGCAAGGCAATTCAGGCTCACTAATCAATCTGTAACCGCCAGCAGCTACTCTGTTACAGCAATAGCTTCCGTTCGCTGGTCTGAGCTGAAGAAACCAGCCGGCTGGTTTCCCTCTGAGATCACTGTTTATCAAACCAGCCAACAGTGTTTTTCTCTCACACAACCAGCCAGTTTCAGCTAAGATTCTGCCAGCCGAACGGGCCTATACGGTTTCATGTGTAGAGGGATCTCGATGTCATGAACATATTCTCACCCTGGCGATCCAGCGCAGCATCCAATTGGAAATTTGCATGGAATGGAATGGGGATGGATCATGGATGGGAGGATACTCGCTTCACAGCCATCCCATCCCATCCCATCCCATCCCATATATTGATTGATTCATTGATCTCATATTGTCATATTATATGTATATGATGAGGATCCACAAAAATGAAGAAGAAATTAACAAAGATAATTAATACACAGAAGAGAGAGAGGAGGAAAAGACAAGAAAGAATTGGCAAGCAAAAAAAAAAAAAAAACAATACTCCATTACAGTACAATTGGGAGCTGGAGAGATGCATGGCCATGGTGATGTTGAGGAAGGATATTGTAGAGTTTTATAGTTTCCTGTGTTGAGCAGCTGAGGACCGGACCAAGAAGAATGAAGATTGAAGACGAAGAAGAAGAGGGAGAAGGAGAAGGAACGTGGTCGATATATTCATTCATGTGCTTAATTTAATTATGAATAGTGGCAGGCCTTCTCGAGCGAGATTGGCTTGTTCTGCTTGCTGGGGTTCATGAGCACCCTGCACTCGACGGCGAGCGTGAACTTGGGCTTCACCAGCGCGCCCAGCACGTAGGCCCGCGAGTGCAGCGTCGTCCTCAGCGCCATGGGCACCGACGCCACCGTGGTGCTCGCCTGCGCCCCCTTGCCGCCCGCCCCCGGCGCCGCCGTCAGCGTCGGGCCACCGCCGTACAGCGGCACCTTGTTCCCGACCACGGCGACGCTCACGGTGCGGCTGCTGCTGCGAGCCTGGTAGAACTTGTTCAGCTGCACAAGACAGATAAATTATGGATGAATGGCAAGGCATGTGCAAACAAAAAGAAAAATTTTGAATCCATCTTGGATCCAAATTTCGGAAATCTGGTGCAAGATCGATTGGGGGGGTCACTAACGTCTCCGGACGCGAGCGTGAGCTGGCTGTAGGAGAGCTGGAACGGGTCGGCGGTGACGTGGATCCCGAAGAAGGTGCCCTTGTTGCGGTAGGTGAACTTGACGGTGGAGTTGGTGGTGGCCATGTCGGTGGGCACGAGCGACGCGTCGGTGCCGGCCTGGATGATGAAGTTGTCGAAGCGGATGCTCTTCATCACGATGTGCGGCTTCTGCGACCTGCTGGCGCCCCACAGCACGAGCGCGAAGAAGGAGAAGAGCGCCACGAAGCTGAGCACGAAGACGAGGAAGTAGTAGCACTTGCGGGGCACGATCCGGGTGTGCTCCTCCTCGTCGTCCATGAAGCCCTCCTCCTCGATCACGCCGATCTCCTGCCACCCCTTGCCGCCCGGCGCGCCCTTGTTGCTGTTGCCGTGTCCCTTGTCGGCCTTGCGCTTGTGGTGCCCCGAGAAGCGGCTGGAGGAGGAGTCCCTGCCCACGGACGAGTGCGAGTGCCGCGGCGACGCCATGGGGCTCAGCGCGGGGGTGGAGTGCACGGACGTCGCTGTCTTCGTCTCGCCGTCGTGCGAGTCTCGGGACGGGCTCTGCACGTAGTACACGGCCCCGCGGGTCCGTGGCGGCGACCGCGGCGGCGACGACGGCGCCAGGCTCGTCACCTCCGAGTCCGTCTTGGCGTGCGGCATCTTGGCCGGCCCGGCTCTCACCACGACCACAGGCTGCTGGGATGGGATGGACTGCAACTGAAGAGCTAAGATCCTAGCAAATGCAGTGCAGGCAACAATGGTAGAAGCTGAGAGCTCCTGCCTTTGCGCTTGATCTGCCTGCTGCTTGGGGTGACCTTAACTAACCACCCCTAGTTGGAGAGGAGAGGGGTATTAACTAGTAGGTGGAGTAATAAGCGGGATCGGCAAGGCGTACGCGGATCGATTGGATTATTAAAGAAAGAGAGAGAAAGAAAGCAAAGACAATGGCAGGCAGGAGAAAGGGCGAAAGCGAGTGTTAGTTGGCTCAACTGAAATCGTCGGTGGAGTGAGCAGAGCAGCTACCAAGGGGATCACTTCACTGGCAGTGCAAGTAGCTAGCTAAGCCTAAGCTAGGAGCAGAGTGAGCGAGTGATATGCATCCACTGCTCGGCATTTCGGCAAGCACCACCAGCAGCATGTGTGCCGGATTCGTCGGTTGCGAGACAGACTAGCCTCGCCAGTTCATCTGCGGCTGGCTGCCCAGTCCTCCTGTGTCTGTCGTTCCAGCAAAGCCACCACCACCCACCTGCCAGCCACCTTCTATCCACCCGACCCGCTTGGGTTTTGCATCTTCTCTCTCCCTCCCTACTCCGGAACAGGAACTGTACATTTGGTCATCAGTTTACAAAAAATTCAGACTCACCTTACTACCTGTATTATCTGCATTTCGGTTGAAAGAATTCACCTGTAAAATATAGACCTGCATTTCCTTTTCTTTTCTATTTCTACCTATATGCAAATGCAGCTATGTCTTCAGATTTTGTCCGTTCCATATATGCCATTCTGGAACAGTTTAAATGGCTCTGAATTTACACAACATGGTTGTTAGTCAACTGAAGTGAACATGGTTGTTAGTCAACTGAAGCAATTTACAGATCCCAGTCAAAACTCAAAAATCAAAACTCGAGAGGGACATGACCAGCAACCACATGGAACATGTGTTGCTCATTCACTGCCACTTGTTCCTTCCAATCACCACTTCACAATTCCCTTATCTTACAAAACAAAACCCAAAAAAAAAAATTACTGCACCTACCGCTTCCCACCCACACAGACACATGATATAATATAACAAGTTAACAACCAAACAAATAAAAAAACAGCAATCACCAACAAGCTGCCTACGATGATGCATGGAATCTCTCCCATCCCCACGTGGCCCAACACGCACTACACCCATTCACCGACACACAAAAAAAACGCCAATAAAACGAGATTTATCCAACTGCAATCAGGGGGCAAGAAAAGAAACCACACCGGCATGCCAATACAACAACAGTTGAGTAAAGAGTGCAAAACCTTGATGCCTTGCCTTCTCAAACAGTCTCTGCAAAACCATACAATACAGACGTGCATTCGTCTGGTTCCACTTCCATCCAGCGGGATCAACCAGGCTTTCGCTCCCAGACCCAGCTTCTGACTGACTTCGCCTCAGCTAGCATACACATTACACTACTTCTGTTTTTCTTTTTGAGATAACTGCCACATGCCAACTAGTTGCCTTTACATCACACAAGCTAGTTCCTGTGGCAAATGTTGCTGCCTCAAAACTGAATTCTCACCAGCAGACTGCAAGTGCATCATGTACTCCCACCACCGACACATACCCTGACATTATCATGAGCAGGCCAACATTTTTGCGGCCGTGTCCAAACAGAAAGCACTCTTCATCACAGGGTTTCTGGGGGAGATTGAGTCTGCCCACTCTCAAGCAGCATGCTGCGGCTGCAGTAAGACCTGGTTGTGCTCGATGAGGAATGCAGGGACCTCATGTCACCGCTGTAAGGGACCAGCTCGTTCCGGTGATGGGTGCCACACTTGCTGCTCCTGGGATAAAAGCCCCCCTCTGCGTCTTCCATGCCCTCGCCAAAGCTGCCGTTCCCCGGATCCAGCCTCTCTGAGAGCATCCTCAAAACCTGCCTGATGGATGGCCTCTGCCGCCCTTCTCTCTGGGTGCACCATTGCACAATGCCGACCACGAGATGCAGCTGGTAAATGTCAACAGCAGCCCTGATCCTTGGGTCTACAATTTCAGGAGAGATCACTCCAGACGAAAGGTGCATCTGTGCCCACTCAACCAAGTTCTTGTTGTCTTGTATTGCTCTCCGTCCAGTCACAAGCTCCAAAAGAAGCACGCCGTAGCTGTATATATCACTCTTCTCTGTCAACTCTTGAGTAACCACATATTCAGGGTCCATGTACCCTGCAGTTGATTCATTATAAGAGACAGATGAGCGAGCTTATCAGTTATCAATAGCTAGTCTGCAGCCTTTCCTGGATGTGTGTTCACTAAAGTACTGAAGTCATAGTGGTAAGGAGTACTTATTTTTCACCTAAGCTGCAATGCATTACCTATCAGCGCTGTTCCATTTCTTATGTAGATTTTGAGGACAACTAACTGAGCAAGAAAGTAAACTGTTCTGTTCTATAGTTTCTCTAACTGATTCACATTGCAAGAGCTCACCTGGGGTTCCTCGTATATCCGTGTTCACAGCTTCAAAGCTGATCGCTCCAGTTCTTGATGCATGTGCAAGGCCAAAATCAGCAACCTAAGTAGAAGAGTGAGGAAAACTTCAGCAAGCATTAACCATGACTTATAAAGGTTACAACGGTGCATCACAAGACCATACCTTTGCAACAAAATGCTCATCCAAAAGAATATTGCTCGATTTGATGTCTCTATGGCAGAGTGGAGGGTTACAAAAGAAATGAAGATACTCCTGAAACAAGAGGACATGGAAGTATGAAGTAGCTCACAGAACTCCAGGATAGAATGCATGATGCAGGCTGCAGTTCCAACTGTGAAGCATGAAGTATGGTCCAAGGAAGTCTCAAAAAGACAAATAGAGTTGAAAATGCAGCACCAGTAAATGCTATCATCCCTTCAATACCACAAAACTACCCTTATACTTCTTCAGAACCTCAGGGAAAACACAATAGCTTAAAATAATATTGCAGCAGAGCACATATATGAGCTGGAAAATATGTGTCTATGATTCTACTCAGCAACCTTACATTGATATAACCATAAAAGATGTTCATGTCCATATTAGTAAAGTACCAGCAATATTTTCTCGAGTCATATAAGGATGGCTAACTTTCAGAAGGTAGGGGGAGCTATTGGTTCCAGTTCAGGAGATAGCTATGGAGGTCGTGCCAACAACGGGTGGCGATTTAGTCATAGGATAAGTGGCTAAGCCTAGTGCCACTTTTGTTATCTCATTCAAATGAAACCTTGTAATAATTAACTGGAACTGTATCCATCAGATGATTTAAAAAGGCTGAACTCGTTTTCCATTTTTTTAAAAAGATTGGTCAATACTAATTTCTGAATGCTACTGGAGTGTCACAGCTAGTATTATGGATCAAACCAGTTCTTTTTTTTTTTTTGGGGGCGAGGAGGCAGCACTATCATATAACAGTGACAATTATTGATTCAATTTTCAAAACAAGGACCATTCTTTGCGAAGGGGTGCAAAATGTTTCATATAGTACAGTGTGCGCACACCAAGGAATTAATTCTTTTATTGCTTTTCAAATAGGATTTCCAGATATGGGGCATCACCCAGAAATATCTTAAACTACTGTCCAGGATTCGATACAGTGATAAGGCATCTCAGCAACTTAATGCCATTTATATTGATGGTCTGGACCTGGATGATTGCTCTTGGTGAAAAGAGGGAGGAGAGATGCGCAGCTAGATTTGATGCTACTGGCCATGGTTAGTTATGTTGTTCTCATAAGAAATTCAGTGCGAACTGTAGTCTAGTCTCCTAGCTCGATGCTTTTATTCCAGATGCTGTATGCCATTTTAGTGGGTATAGTTAACATCAAGCAAGCAACAACAAAGAAACTAAGGAAAAGAGTTTTGAGCTTCAAGATAAACCCAATTAGATAAAACAAGTCAAATACTGTAGTTACTAAAACACGTTGATAGACAACTTGAGCCGTGATTAGCTGAACACTAAAGGCATAAAGAATACTTTCCAGTGTTTTGACTAAAGCACGAACAAAATACAAGGCATGTAGCAGTTCAATTTGCAGTGGCGAACTTACCAGAGCATTGGCCACGTCCATTGCAATCTGTAGCCTTGTCTGCCAGCTTAACGGCTTACTTCCAGATGCTGCAGTATTTCAAATAAGAACACATAAGAGAAGTTCAAATATATGTTTTGCACATAGACAAGATTTGAAACAAATGAGAACACACAGTGCAGGTGATCTTTTAGACTTCCGTTCGCCATGTATTCATACACAAGAAACCTGAAAGGTTCAAATGTAAGCCCTCATGTCACTACATATTACTTAGAATACGCAATGATGATAAGGAAAGAACATTACCTTTCTTTCTTTTCAATACAGAAGCCCTTGAGGGTCACGAGATGGCGATGATGCAACCTAGCCAAGAGTTCCATTTCTCTACAGAACTCTTCTTCAGCTTGTTTTGAAACCTTGTCCATCCTTTTCACCGCAGCTATAGAGCCATCATTGAATTGAGCTTTACAGACAGTTCCAAATCCTCCCTTTCCAATAACTGTGCTGAAATTATCTGTTGCTTTCATTGTTTCTTTGTAGCTGTACCTTTGGAACATTGGTGATTGGCCTGAACAAGGTAAACAGAGTGGTTTGGATCAAAGACAAAGGTAAAATAAGACAGTCTGCTTGTTTTTTCTTTCTCTACCATACAATAGGTTCAGCAAAAGTAGATCAGTCAATGCTCAATATTAGATATAACAGACAGTTTTTGTTATTATTTGTTAGTGCTTCCTGCAACAAGTTTGATGCCCATGGCAACATTACATAAGAACTGGAAAATAATGAGCTTATCAGTTTACAATATACATGAATGATGAGACAGCGAACGCACAGACAATCATAGCATGTAGAAAGGAAGCATGTTCACAAACCATCGGGCCATCTCCAGGATTGATTGTGGTGAAATGTGTTATCTGGATTCCGAGCAGGAAATTCAGCATTCTTCAATTCCCTGCTCTTTCTACGAATCAGGACCACTAAGACGATTTGCAGCAGCACAGCAAGCAATATAACACCGATTCCTATCCCTGGAATAACTGTAATCCTGTAGTGTTGCTGATGTTTCTGTGGAAGACTCTTGATATTTGGAGCCGGAGAATCAACAGTGACATTTGGAGAGGATGCTGGGGTCGATGTGACAGATGCTGGTCCTGGTGTGCTCCCAGAGTTAGACAAAAATCACAGGGTGTGGGTGGTCAAGAATTGAACATAGTCAAAATGCAGTATAACAGTAACAATACCTGGAAATGTGGTGATTCCCTGGACACCAAAGAAGCACTTGACGATATCTTCGTATGAAAGAATACCCTCTTGAGTCGCAAGCGTTACAAAAACAGCGTTGCGGCACACGCTCAGCCCAACATTATCGTCTGAACCGGTGAGGCGATGGAGGTACACGATGCCATAATTCAAGCAAGTCTTACAGGTGATATCCAGCGACAGAGGGCCCCTGCAGCTCCCGATAACGTCGTTGAAGTTTGGGGACTGCATCATCTCCAGCACGGTATCCCGCCCAGCGCACTGATACGAAACCCGTATCTTGGGTCCCAGCCCGCAGAAGACATCGGCATCGGTGGGGATACCCCGCAGCTTGAACGTCTCGGACACGGAGCTGAGACAGATCTCAGCAAAGGCAGGAGGGACCCCCAGCCTGCCCGTGGCGTTGGCGTAGCGAGCAATGGAAATGGCAACGAACGCATTGATGTAGCGGCAGCACGCCGCCCGCTGGGTCGGATCAGAGCAGGCGGCCGCAGCTAGTGTGAAGTTTGCCCAGCTAAAATCCAGAGGGCAATCTGTGGAAGAAAAAAGGAAATCACTGCTTTTAGTAAGGGTCTAATGATAGGTAAGGTATAGGACACGCACAAATTGGGTAAAATCAATGTTTAGTGCCCCACGGCCTGATTGCCTCCGTTGGGCAATCCGCATTGAATCAACTACAAGGTCAGCGAGAGGGGTAAAATGTGCGGTTTTTCCTGCAAAGGTGCCGTTCATCGTCCAGCATAGGAGCTCATAGCAAGCTCATCGTATAGATGAATCAAATCAGAGACAACATACGAGTAGCATGGAAAAGCAAGCGAGAATCACTATGTAGATCATATACATCCTACAATAACCATTGCATTCTGATCCCCAAACATGACGGAACCAACACTATCACGAGGGGGTCACAAATAATGCGATTTATTCATTATATATACGCAACGCAATAGATGAGGAGAGAAGGAAGGGGCTGACCTCCGACGGCGGTTGCTGCGGGGCTCGGGGAGAGGAAGAGAGGGGAGGAGGCGAAGAGCGATAAGAGCAGTAGGAAGGGAATGGGGGAGGACCGGCGGCGGAAGGGCAGCAGCGCCGGCATTTGGAGGCGGCGGAGTGGAGTGGAGTGGGGTGGGGAAGGGGACGAAGAGGGTTTTTGGATCGCTGGGGCGGCGGCTGGGGCGAGCGACAACGATTTGTCCCCGCCCCCTCCTGGGGTTCTGTAGCGTCGCCCACCACCCTAGGCACGGCAGCCTGCCCTGCTGCTCCCCTCCGCTCCGTCACAGCCTCATTCACAGCTCACGTGAGGACATGAGGCTGCCTTTCTTGCTCACTGCTCCACATCAAGTTCAGCAATCACAGATATACCTATCCACAGGTACACCCTACACAAAAAATAGTACTCCTACTCCTACTTGACGTATCATGTCTGTTTTCTTCTTCTTCTTCTTCTTCCTAAAAAAGTGTCTACCATCAAATTCCAACCAACCATTTGCACACAATTTATAAGGGTGATAATTATTGGAAGTTGATGCCGAGGTTTTGTTGGTCTTTTTAACTCCGTAGAAATAATGTGACATTAAAAAATTACACTCCTTTATAAGTTATTTTCGGAGCAATCTATTGGGCACGTTTAGAGTACCTTGCAGGAGAACAATACACTGTACTAACTTCTAAAGCGGGCTTGTCATATGTCGGAGATTAGATGCTGTGGTTGTGGAGATCTTCGTCAGACAAGTCAGCCTGTTCGTTTGCTCGTAAACGATCGTAAATTTTTAGCCGGGAATAGTGTTTTTCTCTCACACTAAACCTGCCAGCAATAAATAATCCACGATACGATACGGCCTCCCGAACAGGTTGAAGGATGGTTGTCTTTTTAAGTGGAATCGATGTCTAAGTAGCCTCTCATTCGCTTGTTTTTTTTTTTTAAATACGGAGGCCAGAACTTAATGAGGATTGGTTTTGTGCAAGGCTATTATAGGGGTCAGAATAAAAATCTATTTTTTTTATAAATAAAAACGCTTAATTTATAGAAAGGGGTGCATTCTACCTAGGATAACGAGCTATATACTGAAGAACGGAAGATGGCACAAAGAATCGCTTCAAAAGTAGCGGAGAAATTTGGAAAGGGTAGATTTGATGAAGGGTACAGACATTAGTCAGTGGCGGAGTGTTGATAAGAAAATTACTAAAAGTGAAGAAGGTGAGGGGAGATGGTGCTGGGTGTGGAGTGCAGAGATAGGAAGCAGAGAGGAGAATTGAAGGGGAAGGAATTCCAACGCCTGCGTTATTTTCTTTATACACACTTTCGTCGATTATCACCGAAAATTGGCTCCGTTCGGCTTATCCCATATTCATTTCTAGCCGGAACAGTGATTTTTCCTCACAACAATTCAGCCGGAACAGTGTTTTCAGCCAGTTTCAGTCAAGATTCAGCAAGCCGAACGGGGCCATCACCATTCAAATCTAAAAAATATGAGCACCGACATTTAAATCAAGGACTTAAATTCGAATGAATAGATTCTGTCACAGGGACTTAACCAGCTGACCTACACTCAACTCATAGTGCAATGACACGGTGTTATTTGAGAACTTTGTTAGGCCTTGTTTAGATTCCAAGTTTTTTCATTCTCTTTCCATCACATTAAATTTTTGGACACATGCATGGAGTATTAAATATAGATAAAAAAATAACTAATTACACAGTTTGATGGTAAATTACGAGACGAATCTTTTGAGCCTAGTTAGGCCATGATTGGACAATAATTATCAAATATAAATGAAGTGTTACAGTGTCAAATACTGATTCTCAACCATCATCTAAACAAGGCCTTAGGGCGCGTTTAGATCCGAAAATTTTTGGGTTTTGGGTACTGTAGCACTTTTGTTTGTATTTGGTAATTAGTGTCTAATTATGGACTAATTATGTTCGAAAGTTTCGTCTCGTGATTTCTCATCCAACTGTGCAATTAGTTTTTTTTCGTCTACATTTAGTACTCCATGCATATGCCGTAAGATTCGATGTGACACTTATTGTGCAAATTTTTTTGATTTTTGGGGAATTAAACGGGCCCTTAGTTGCGGTGAGAATTTAAGACCCGTCAGTGGCCACCAATGCAAGCAGACAGCAACCTAATTTGAATAGTATTCCTGCTACTCGTGCTCGTATCGTGGCTTTTCAGGCTGGTTGGTTGACGCGCCCCACGCCGCATGCTTACATGGTCCATACATACATACATACATACATACATACATATACCCGTACACATGAACGACACATTCAGAAAGGAACAGTGCAGAGCAGAGGAGGAACAAGAGGATGATACGTACGTACGAGTAGGATGATGCGTGATGACAGATACGTACACCTGCTTGCAGGGAGTACTTGAGTCTGGACTGCAGTTGCATTATACAGTATATTGCATCAAAGATGAGAGGCTCCCCACTGATTGGATCTAATTAGGGAGGGCTATTTTGTCTTATTTTGCTCGGTTTGAAAATTTTACAGAGTAACTTCACATAAATCAGTTTAATTTCGTATGTGAAAATTTCCTACGTTCCAGTCTAATTTCGTTAAAATTCTTACGTCACAGTATCTTCACATAAACCAGTTTAATTTGGTTAAAGTTCTTACGCTCCAAGCACGGCCTTACCTCACAATCCGAGGCTCATACGAACAAATGTAGCGCTAGATTGTACTACAACACTGTTGGAACTATCCTATCCTAATAACGTTGCCTACAGAGTACAGAATCAATGCAAACTGCTTGCTTCTTACTACTACAACCTCAACCTGTAATAGGCAGGTAACTGCATATGTACCGCGGGAGATTGCTGAGTTAAAGGACGGTACGGTAGAGGATTAGAATGACAGGGGATCGAGGTGCCTGCTGCTTGTAATTAAGCTTCTTTTTGTTCAGCAGATCATCAGCGCTGCACATGCATGCAGATCATCAGATAATAATCCGAGAGATGCAGAAATGGCGGATGGAGAGAGGCAGCAGAGCAATGCATTGCCAGACACAGCAGCACGCTGCCCCTACCCAACCTACACCCCACCAAAGCAGTAGAATATATATATGTTTGCTTGCTGTTGTCGTTTCTCCCTCTGGCCTTGCTACCCTAAACTGAATACATACATATAATTCAATCTGCTCTCTCTCTCTCTCTATATCATCCTCTGAATTATGACTATACATCGTCTGATCTTGGCCTCTTGGGTTAGTTGGGTTCGTTTTCGTTGGAATTGGAAAAGGGGACTAGGGATAACTAAGGGCCTCTTTGGCACGGCTTATGCCGGCTTCGGCTTCATCTATTTTACGCAAATCGAGGCACTGTAACGTGAAGCCGTTTTATAAGCCGGGGTTAAAATGAACTAGAAGCCGGAAAAAGACAGTTTTTCTGGCTTCACCGGTGAAGCCGTTTTGGATGAGCCGTGCCAAAGAGGGCTTAAATCATTCATTCTCAGCCAGCCGACCGGGGAGATGGACAGCGGGAGGTAATCAGCCCTGTTCATTTGGCTGTGGCTTGTCGTAAATGATCGTAAATTTTCAGTCAGAACAGTATTTTTCTCTCACACAAACCAGCCAACAGAACTTCTTCGTGAACCAGCAACGAAACGAACCAGTCAACCGAACAGATTTTATTAAAGGGCTGGGTGAATGCTAGCTCCGACCCACTGTGTTTGTCTCTCTGCCTTCCACTCTGGTCTCTGGATCAGATCAGGCAAAATCACATTGACGACAAGTCATCAGCAAGGCTGTGTCTACTCCACAGAATAAGAATATTTCAAGTAAATCTATCTATCTATCTATTCTTGGCGGGCAGCTGCACTGCACTGCATGGTACGTAACGTACAGAGGAGGCAGGCACTCCGATCCCGCGGTTCGCGGGCGTCCTCCAGTTGAACACACGCCGTGCCAGGCTGCCCTAACTAGCTTGTCCACGGCCGTACGTGCCGGACCCTTCCTTCCCTTGGCAACACGGATCGGCCGGACCCACGGGACGCGCGCGCGCGCGATAGACGATGGCCGTGGCCACGGTCCGGCGGCGGCGTTGCTTCCTCCTCGTGCTGGGAACGGCCATTGCCATTGCCGCCTCGTTATTCGGCGCGGCGTCCGGCGCCGCGCTGGTGGGCGATTCGTGCAAGGCGTCGTCCACCTCGGACGGCGGCGGCTGCGGCAAGGGGCTGCGCTGCACCACCTGCGTGCCACCGCCGGGGACGGGACCCGCCGCGTGCGCGCGGACCACGCCCATCGACCCCAAGACGCACGTACGTTGTTGTTACTGTTGTCCTGTAATCTCGTCGATCGTTTCTTGCATTGTCGTGTATGCATATATATCATCCATGCACCGTGCATGCAGGGCACGGGTCTCCCCTTCAACAGGTACTCGTGGCTGACGACGCACAACTCGTTCGCGGTGGTGGGCACCAAGTCGCCGCTGGGGTCCGCCATCATCTCGCCGCCCAACCAGGAGGACTCGGTGAGCGAGCAGCTCAAGAACGGCGTGCGGGGCCTCATGCTGGACGCCTACGACTTCAACGACGCCGTCTGGTTCTGCCACTCCTTCCACGGGCGGTGCCTGCCATTCACCGCCTACGTGCCCGCGCTGAGCGTCCTCACGGAGGTCCGGGTGTTCCTCGAGGCCAACCCGTCCGAGGTGGTGACCGTGTTTCTGGAGGACTACGCCGCGCCGGGGTCCCTCAGCAACGCCTTCAACGCCGCCGGACTGTCCAAGTACTGGTTCCCCGAGTCCCTGATGCCCAGCCCCAGCAAGGGCGGCGGTGATGACTGGCCGCTGCTAAAGGACATGATCGCCGACAACCACCGACTCATCGTGTTCACGTCCAAGAAAGGGAAGCAGGGGACGGAGGGCCTCGCGTACCAGTGGGACTACGTCGTGGAAACCCAATGTACGTATAACGTATATATATCAGTCGTCGTCGTCGTCGTCTTGTTTAGATTTGTTGGGACTCCATCTCCATGCATGCATGCATACAATCCAACAAGCAGATGGGAGCGAGGGCATGTCGGATGGCGGGTGCCCGAAGCGGTCCGAGTCTCGGCCCATGGACTCCAAGGCCCAGTCGCTGGTGCTGCTCAACTTCTTCACCAGCAACCCGAGCCAGAGCTGGGCCTGCAGCAACAACTCCGCGCCGCTCATCAGCAGGCTCAACGCCTGCTACCAGGCATCCGGCAACCGATGGCCCAACTACATCGCCGTCGATTTCTACATGGTACTGTATGTTGATTGGTATATGTATACATTGACCACGCGCGCGTGCCTGAATGATATGATGAAATGCACAGAGGAGCAACGGCGGCGGCGCTCCCCTGGCCACCGACGTCGCCAACGGCCGCCTCCAGTGTGGCCGCGACAGCATCACCTACTGCAAGCCGTCTTCTGCTCCGGCACCCGCATCGGCTTCTTCACCGTCTCCTGCCCCCGCCGCTTCTCCGTCGTCTCCTGGGCCGGCACCTGGGCCTGCTAATAGCTACTACTCTACTACTGGTTAAGAGGCGGCCTCAGGTTGGACCTGGCCTGAAAATATCCATGAGACAGGCCTATCTAGTGCTCACTGCTCACTGATGAATATTCTTAGATCCAGGATCAAAAATTAATTTCATTGAAAAACAAATAGCATTGTCAAGTTTTTTTGTGTGTACATATATAAGCGTGATGGCACACCAAGCATATATAAGGGAGGTTTGCCATAAGAGTGATGGCGCAGAGCTTAATTTTATATATTGCCCTCCATTATCTATCTCTTCCTGTGACGTTCCAGGGGCGGCTTAATATAATGTCCCATCGAGTGCACGTCTGCATTGTCTGTACTTAAGCTTTGAAAATAAGCCATATGCACGTACGCAAGCTTTCAAAATAAATTCAAGCAGTTCATCTTTCAGACACTAAGACAATATAATAATGGATATATGCAGTTGGAACAACATGCATTGCCATGCTCTGGTCTCTGGTCTGCGGTCTGCGAGATACAACACACAGTAGGATGTGTATATAACATGCAACAGTAACATTAGGTCAATCAATTCGAATTCAAATTCAAATGCATGGGTACACACGTGACCTGACGTGACGTTATGTTGTGCTGCGGCTAGGGTTTTGATTTCTTCCGGATCGGAAGAGCTGATGAGGTGCTGACGTGCCGTGGTTAGCGTAGTACCTAGGAGTATTTCATTGGCACCTCATATCCAAGGGCTCGAGATTTCAGTTTCGTCTTTTTTCAGTCCTACCGGTCGTAGCTCTTATGTATGTTAAGATTGTGCTCGTGCATTGCAATGGGAATAAAATAATGTCTGGGACATCCTCCACTTTTCTTTATTCTTCTCGTAGTACAAGATATGCCAGCATTCGTGCTAGTAATTTTTGAAGCTTTTCTTGTCTGTTTATACAAAAAAAGGTAAGGCATTTGTATAAATAGGTTATGCATTTTCTTGACTAATTATAGTTTAAATATTGCAATTTATGATGTCTTTAGACATAGTAATCAGGGGAGAAGTTCGTAGTTATTCATTTATGCAGCAACATTTGTCACACAGCTGAGCAGTAAAAATATAAGAACCAATCAACCAACAAATCAAATAAAAAATTACTTGAGAAAATCTAGTAGACCGCTCTCGTCGTCGAAGGTGACAGCGATATGGTGACAGTAATCTCCACATCGGCATGCACATCACCCTGGTCGTGGAACTGTGCTTACGAGCTCCCGCCATGCCATGGGGAATGCTTGTGTCTTGAAGTTGCATATGACTTATCTATATTTCTGGTTTTTGCACTTCGAGGTGCCACTGGGTCCCTTCTTCGATGCAAGAAAGAAATAGCAGAATTGGGACGGTGGTCTAGAGCGACTCCATTCTGGATAGTTTGGGACAGACACTTCAGCATGAAACTTTGTAGAACGATAACAATAATGAGATCTTTGTAATGTTTTGAACTACTGTAAAGGGAACTTAAGTTTGCAAGAGTTTTGTGTGTGTGGGTGGGGTGGGGGGGGGGGCGTGCCTCGAAAATGCTATGCTAAATGTAACCAATTTTACGCTTTGTTGTTTCAATAAAGTGGGAGAAATCTTTTTAAAAAGTTGGGTCTAGGACTTTAGGTTGGTAGTTGATACTGCAATATGATATGATGCACATCCATGATCGACTGCATGCCTTGAAATGTGTATGTGTATATATGTGCATGGTGCTGGGCACCTTTTATATCGGTCGATCGATGGATGGAACGCCAGCCCAACTCAACCTAATAACTAGGAGTAGCTACTCTCATCACCTAGCTAGCTTTATCCACTGATAAATCGATCGATGGAAGCATTGTCCATGCATGGCGCTAGCTATACCTAGTTGATGTAGCATATGCATAGTTTTGTCGGTCCACGAGCTAGCTAGCCGAGAAACGAGCTGTATGCACATGCCTGGATGATATGCATGCACCAAGGAAAGTTTCCAACATGCATATACATTTGCGCTAGACAGATAGTGGCCATTTTACTATGGTTACTCTCCTATGTTTGGCACTCCACCCCTTTATGGTGTTGCATACTTTATTTACCGCAATGCATGGACCATATATATCCAGATATGCATGAGAGGGAAAGAGACACAATTATAAAGCAATAGTTTTTTAATACAAAATCGAGACTTTTGGCTCTATATAATACCACATATTGAGTTATTAACTAGATAAACTGGCCAATGCAAGCTCATCAAAATGCTAAGTTGATAAAAAAAAGTAGGCAATCCATTTACACCTCAGCATACTTGAGTTGTCGCAACAACCACATCGATGCTTTAGTCTTCTCTTGGAGATGCTCTTATCCACGAAATGTAAGCAACCTAAGGCATCAATGAGTATGTATATGTACCATCCCTCCGTCTCAAAATATAAGGGTTTACGATATTTTTAAGACAGATTAAGAATGGAACTCAACTACTTGATCACCAAAGGTTGTGGCGTGACACAGTTAATGCCGGTCGATTTAATTACTTCCGGTTTAGAAAAGAATACAATGTAATTTTAGGTATAAATCTGAACAAACACTTGCCCAGTTTATAATTATACTTTTTTTTTGGACGAAGGGAGTATTTAGTGAAAACCATGGCTCAGTCTTCGATCAAGCATGAAGTTTAAGATGACATATTTAATACACATGGTTATTTAGCCAATAGTTGCCCGTCAAACAAACATCAAGATCAAGGACCAAATTTAAACGCCCAAAGTCTTTATATTTTGAAACGGTGGAACTAGCTAGGAGGCAAAAGAAAAATCTAGCAGTGGTCTGGTGGTCGGCATGAGCTGGCTATAAAAAAGGAGCTGCTCGACGCGAGGAAGGCACACTCTTGGAGTAGCAGCATAGCCTAGCCTAGTAGTAGAAGACGATGGCGGCAAGAAGGGTGTGTAGTGCCGTCCTGGCCATTGGCTTGCTGCTGGCCGCCGCCGTCGCCGCAGTGCCGCCTCATCTTCAGCTGGTGACTGACACTGACGGTGGTTTGTCGCTGGACTTCCACGCGGCGTCGTGCCAGCAGCTGGAGGGCATCGTGCGCGCCGCCGTGCAGGCCGAGCGAGGCCAGGACGTCCAAGTCACGGCCGGCCTCCTCCGCATCTTCTTCCATGACTGCCTCCCCCAGGTTCATACATACCCCCCTTCATATAGCTTCCGTTATACAAACTTACAAAGGAAAAACGCTTCTGTATATGCATGTATGTAACGAATACAAATAAAACTAGGGGTGCGACGCTTCCATCCTTCTGGACGGCGAGAAGTCCTTTGGTCCCAACGCTTCTCTACAGCCACGGGCGCTGCAGCTCATCGAGAGCATCCGCGCCAAGGTGCACGCCGTGTGCGGCGCCACCGTCTCCTGCGCCGACATCATCGCGCTCGCCACCCGCGACGCCGTCAGCCTGGCCGGAGGTCCGTCCATCGCGATGCCCCAGGGCCGCACCGACAGCCTCAGGCCGGCCACGAACGCCGAGGTAAACACCCTCCCGTCGCCCTTCTCCGACGTGAGCACGCTCCTCGGCACCTTCAGCCGCAGGGGACTCGCCGACCCCGCCGACCTCGTCGCGCTCTCCGGCGGCCACACCGTGGGGAAGGCCAGCTGCAGCTTCATCAGAGGGAACGACGACTTCTCCCGGAGGCTCGTCGCCAACTGCTCCGCCGGCCGCACCGGGAAGCAGAGCCTGGACGTGATCACGCCCGACGCCTTCGACAACAGGTACTTCGTCGCGCTGAGGAGCACCCAGGGGGTGCTGCTCTCCGACCAGGGCCTCGCCGGCGACCAGCGCACGGCCCGTTTCGTCGCCGCCTTCGCCAGCAACCAGGGCGCCTTCTTCGACCAGTTCGCCAACTCCATGGTCAAGCTGGGCAGCATCAAGGCAGCCGCCGCCGGCGAGATACGCCGCAACTGCTTCAGGCCCAACGGCCGCGTCAGCCTCGACGACGTCAGCGCTCTCATCGGCGACGATGCCGCCGCCGTCGCTAGCGACGAGGGCTTTGCAACCTCCGCTTGATGATAAGACATCATGCATGATCTCGCATGCATGCTACTATGTACGTGTAACGCGTTAATTGATTATGGATCGCACCTATACACCTTAGTAGGTGTATGTACTACGTTCTTATTTCATGCTAAGTTTGCTTTGAGTGAGCCATCAGTGAGGTAGTAGTAGGTAGCTTGAATCGATGGATGGACGAGATCGGTAGTGTAATAATGCCAGTACGTGCATGGTTAGCACGCGGCATGTTGTAGTTGTACTCCAATATGCATGTGTTTTAACGCTAGTAGTTTGATGAATCATGAATGCATGCCCAGCCAGACCAGATCGATGCATCATGCATGCATCACGTTAGGGAAAATATAAGCTTGTCTTTCTAGTGTTTTTCTTTATTGTTTGTTTATTACTAGATAGATGTGTGTGGCAGCTTTAATCAGCTAATTTGGCCGCTAAAACGGAACATTGCAAACCGATGTACCTGTAGCCGTGCTAGCTAGCCTGTTATCGCACTCAGAAACAACGTTAAGCACGAAAAGAACTCCGATATCCACAAAAAGAGAGCATCATTTCATTTTGATCCACTCGCATATGGCGTCAGTTTTTTAAGCTAATAAAGGTAAGCTTATCACTAACCGGCACCATTTCATTTTGATCCACTCGCATATATGACTATTCATATAGAAATTAAATGTGAAAAGCGACTCGAGCAACAACGCCCGCAATGGCACGTTCTTTTTTTGAAACTAAAAAGTTGAAACGCTAGCTGATGAGAGCGAGCGAGGGTCAATGAACTGCATTGGCCAGAGACAACATCAAGTGCCTACGTGCGCGATGCATAGGAAAATGAAAACCTTACCAGCAAATAACGTACGCAACAAGTGGCAAGCAGTTTCGTATACTAGACAACACTGCACAATATAATGGAGCACATGCAGTGAATTTGTTAATTATTATCCGGGCAGTGGGCAGTGGCAGACCATATCGAGGTTAGCTTGGGCATTGGGGCTCATGCATGCACCCGGACCCGGCCTCCTCCGGTCGTGCTGCAGCTTGTCGACCGCACGCCGGCGTCTGTATTTTAATTTTAGGCCCTCGCAGACTTCTCCAACGCTTTGCTTCAGGGCATGTTTGGTTCACACCTTCTAATAAAGTTTAGTCACCTAAACCAGCTTTTAAAGTTTAGTCACCCCTTATTTGGTTTGGTTGACTAAAAGAGACTAAAAGATAGCCCTGGACATTCGGTATTACCGAACCGAACCGAACCGAATCCTCGGTTCCACGGTTCTTCGGTTCCCAGGAAAGTCGGTACCGATCGGTTCTTCAAAAAATCGGTACCGACGAAGTTCAGCTTCGGTTAGTTCGGTTCGGTTTCGGTTCCGAACCAAACTAACCGAACAACTCCGGCTTCTAAAAAATCAGCGACTCGGGAGGGCGCGCCGGACTCTGGGCGGGGATGTGGCGCCGCGGGAGGTCGGCCGTCGCAGGGGGCGCCGGGACTCCGGTTCTCCGGGAGGCGGGAGTTCGGTTCCTCGGGTAGTTCGGTTAACCGAGGGGAGGAACCGAATTAACCAGACAAATTTTGGTTCTTAGGAAATGGGAACCGAACAGGGAACCAAGATTTCGGTTCTCGGTAAATTCGGTTCGGTTCTCGGTTTTTTCGGTTCGGTTCTCGGTAAAATTTGCACAGGGCTACTAAAAGAGGCATTTTAGTCCCTTTTAATCAGGGTGTTTGGATCCAAAGTGACTAAAAGGTGAGGCAGCCTGACTAAAAGGTGGGCTTTAGTCCCATTTAGCAACACTTGGGTGACTAGTTGGCTAATGCACTTTTTAGTCCCATTTAATCATAGTGTTTGGGTAAAAGTGACTAAATGGGGCTAAATGTGACTAGCTAGATATAGAAGGTGAGGAGTGAACCAAACACCCCCTTAGTTCTGATTTCTTGACAAACTCCATGTTCATGAAACGACTCTGTAAGTGAAGTTACATAGAGAAGAAATCGTTCTTTTTATAAACACTAGCCAACGTGCATGTGCGTTGCAACAGGAGATATAATTTGTTGCCTAGTTTATCTAGATTATTTGGAGCTCAAAAATTTATCCAACAAACATGTGGTGCTTAGTCCTCTAAATCGTATATATGAGACGCTTTGACATTTATCTATTGACCGTCTGTGTATTTCAATTTGTCTTGAGATGGGACTCTAAGTAGTGTTTGAGATTGCATCGTATGTTTAAATTCATCTTTGACTCAAACTTTGTACCATACATGTATGTACACTGCTCTAACTCGTTATGTTGTGTTTAATCTTTCTGTTTCTTTTTTTTTTGTTGCGTGTTTTATTTTTTCTTCTTTTTTCTTTTCCCATTCCTGTACTCTTGTGTTCAAACCGAGTTCTTAATCATTTCGGCTTCTTAGAAATCTCTTCAATAAAATCCTCATGTGTTCCAACTCGTCTTGAACTCCTCATACGGAGTTAGAAATCTCTTCAATAAAAACCATACTATTGCTAGATGTGTACTGCTCTAACTCCTCATACGGACATTGGAAACATGGACACTCATCTGATCTTTGCATTGGGTGTTCGGATTCGTCTTCGGATCGTACTCTGTGGATCGCATCATGCATTTCAGCTCGTTTGGGGATTAGACTTCACACCGTGTTTGACACGTTGCCCCAACTCATAAAGGAGAAAGTGATAGGAAAACACGATATATGGCGTCGCCACTGATGTCAGTCACCTCCGTTGCCTACGGTTCTCCGACTTTGCTCACCGCAGCTCTTTGTGATGCCACCATGCGCGCACCGCATGCTGCGCTGCCGCTAATCTTCTCCAACATGCTACACCACGGGGCTGGGGCTTTTATGGTTGGCCAACTTGGTAGTGGAAATCTTTATTTTATATAGGCAAGGAGCAAGGGTTCAAACATACATGATTATTGATTTAGGCCTTTTGTTTTTTGAAATTTATAGAAGTAACAGACACAAAAAAGACCTAGTGCACAGATGAATTTGTGACATGCGGATGCTCCACTCGAACAGACTTAGAAAATGCACGGGAAATGCTTGCACCGACAGTCGGATGGAACTTGGGTGGACGGAAAAAGGGGAAACACTTAGTGTTCCTTGGCGCAGATGAAAAAAATACACTCAAACGGATGAGAAAAAAGATAAAGAAATAAAGAAATTAAACCAAAACCAAAAATCTTCCCGTGATTTAATATTACAATTCAAATGTACATAGAGCCAAAATTTCTTCCCCCTTGTTTTTATGGTTTGGCCCTCCCCTAACTAACTTTATGAATGTAAAAACTGTCTGTATTCTAAGCATGGATATATAGGAATCATAATTAAATAGATCCCTCCTATTATAAGCAAGTTGAATATAGAAACAACCCTAATCAAAATAGAAAAGGAATTAACTGAATCATCTCATAACTTTTCTTACCTTTTTTTTCTTTTTTGTTTCCTTTTTGTTTTTGTTTTCTATTTTTCTTTTCCTTTTTCGTTTTTCTTTTTTGGGTTTTCGTTCGCATCTCCATTGTTTTGATTTTGGTTCTTTTATCCTTTACATTTTTCTTTCTCCGTTTTTTCTTCGCTTCCGTTGGTTTGGTTTTCCGTTCTATTTTCTTTTTTGGTTTTTGTTTGCCTTATCATTTGTTTCCCATTCTGTCCCCTACGCGTGCAGTAGGTTTACCGTTAGTTTATGTTTTTTCTCGTCTCCTCTCCCGTTCTAATTTCTTCAGAAATCTACTCGGATTACGATTTGTAGCTATTCAGGTTACCTAAAAAACATATGTCCATATGTTATATATTACCTCTTTATTATTAGGTATAGATATAGATGATGAGTGATGAAGCCATCTAGAACATGACTTTTTTTTACTCTCACGGGGGGGGGGGAGTTTTTCCCACATGGAATTTTATTTGGCCCTCGCGGCCCACAGTAATGTTTACAAGATGTTTACATTTTGAGAAAAATGGAGTTTACAGGCCACTCTTGGGCTAGCTTAGCGTCCTAGCGCATCACGGAAGATCGTGCACCATTGATCCGCTACACACTTCTCCTTCTCGGCAGTCTGGCTCTCCATTGCTCCGCTTCTCTCCTACAGGCAAGCAGCAGCTATTTTTTAATGTCACTGGGGGATTACTCCCCACCTGAATGTATACTGATAAATCGGCTCATTTTATATTTTACAATGTTGAGGAGGAAAAA